TTTATTTTTCTTTTTTTTTAGTAATTTTTTTCGGGGTTTTTTTTTTTTTTAAAAAATTTTGGTTATTTTTTTAATTTTTTATAGGGGTTTTTTTTTTTTTTTATTTGGGGAAAAATTTTTTTTATTTAAAAGGTTTTTATGGGGGCTAGTTAGTTTTTTATAAAATTTTTGCGTTTTATTTTGGTGGAGGTTAAGGTTTTTTTATTTGGTTTTTTATTATAAAAAGGTTTTTTCATTTTTCTATGGGCAGGGTTTTTTACGTTTTAATTTTTTGGTTTTTAAAATTTTTTTTTATTTTTCCCTTTTTTATGGGGAAAAATTTTTTTTTTTTTGAGGAGGGCATGGACTAATTTTTTTTGGGGGCATTTTTTATAACATTTTTATTTTCATGGTTTTAAAAATTGGGTTTTTTAATTTTTTTTTTAAGGGCTTTTTTTTTTCATTTTTAAATTTTTATAAAGGTTTTTAAATTCATGGTTTATTAGAAGGGATTTTAAAATTTTTTGGTTAATATTATTTTAAAAGGACTATTTATTTTTAAAAAATTTTTATTATTTGTTAAAAATTTTTAGCGTTTTAATTTTGGGGTTTTATTAGAAGCGGGATTAAACTATGGAAAATTTGAAGGGGGTTTTTTTGGGGGGTTTTAAAAAGGGGGGGATTTAGAACTGATGGTTTATTTTGGTGTGGTTTATTTAAGGGGGGGTTTATTATGTGCTGATGGTTTTTTATGGGGTGATGGTTTATTATGGAGCGATGGTTTATTTTGGGGGGGATGTTTATTAGGCTGTGGTTTAATGGATATGGTTTATTAGGGCTGAGGGGGTTTTTTGAGCTGTGGTTTTTTTGGGCGAGGGTTTTTTTGGTGTGATGGTTTTTAATTTTTAAGCTGGGTTATTTGGGTCGTGGTTTTTGAGGATGGTTTTTTTGGGCTGATGGTTATTATGGGCTGATGGTTTTTATGAAAAGGGGGGTTTTGGGGTGTTTTTGGAGTGGTTTTATTATGAAACTGTGGTTTATTTGGTGCTGATGTTTTTTTTAACTGATGGTTTATTATGAAGCGATGGTTTATTTTGGGGGGTTTATTTGGGGTTTTGGTTTTTTTTGGCGGGTTTATTATGGTGCTGATGGGTTTTTATGGGCTGTGGGGGTTTTTTTAAAATTTTAAAGGGGGTGGTTTTTTGGGTGATGGTTTTTTTTTTGGGTGGGTTTATTATGGTGGATGGTTTATTATGAAACTGAGGTTTATTATGGTGCGAGGTTTAATGGTGCTGAGGTTTTTTTGGGGGGTTTTTTAGGGCGATTTTTATTTAAGCTGAGGTTTATTATGGGCGATTTTATTAAATTTTTGGGGTGGGTTTTTTTTAAAAATTTTTTTTTTTATTTTAAAATTGGGGCTATTTTAAAATTTTTTTAAAATTCTATTTTTAATTTCATTTTAATTCTTTTTAAAATTTTTTTTTTCATTTTTATTAAAGGGGGATTTTATTATGAAATTTTTTAATTCTATTTTAAAAAGTATGGGTTTTAACTATTTTAAAGGAAATATTTTAAAAATTTTTTTTATTTGGATATTTTTTTTTTTTGGGGGGTTTTTTTTATTTATTTTTTATAATTTTAAAAGGGCATTTTATTATTCCATGGGTTTTTTTTTAAAAAATTTTTTTTTTTTTTTCAAATTTTTTTTTTTAAAGGTTTTTATGGGCTATTTTTTTTATAGCATTTTTTATTAACTATTTTATTACTTATTTTTTAACTATGGTTTTTAAAATTTTTTTTATTTAAAATATTTTAATTTTTATTAAAATAGGTTTATTTAAAAAGGGTTTTTTTTAAAAATTTTATTTTTATTTTCGTTTTTATTAAATTATTTTTTAAATTTTTAAATTTATTTTAAAGGGTTTTTTAATTTAAAGGATTTAAACATTTTAAGGGCCCGGGTTTTTTTTAAAGGGCTGATTTATTAACTATGGGTTTTTTTTTTAAAATTTTTTTTCTATTTTTAAATTTGACTGATTTTTTTTTTTTTGGGGTTTTTTTTTGGGCAGGTTTTTATACTTTTTAATTTGGGTGGGTTTTTTTTCTGATTTTATTATTTTATTTAAAATATTTTTTTTAAACATTTAAAATTTTTAAAAAAATTTTTTATTTTTTTGGGGGGTTTATTATTTCATTTTTTATTTTGGGCTGATTTTTTTAAAAGGGGGGGTTTTTTTTTTTTTCTATTTTATTATTCATTTTATTATACATTTTTTTGGGATGGGTTTTATTTTTTAAAAAGGGTTTTTTATTTGGGGGGGTTTATTATTTTTTTTAATTTCTGATGGTTTTATTATTTAATTTTTTTTATTTTTTTTAAAAAATTGGGTTTTTTTTTTGGGTTTATTTTTTTGGGAAAAAAAGGGGGTTTTTTAAACATTTTAAAATTTTTTTTAAAAAACTGGGGTTTAAAAAAAGGGGGTTTTATTATTTTATTTTTTTATAAAAATTTTTTTTTGGGAAAATTTTTTATTTTCAAAGGTTTATTTAACTAATTTTAAAATTTTTTTTTTTTTGGGCTTATTTGTTTAAAATTTTAAAATTAAAAGGTTTTATTATACATTTTTATGGTCGATTTTAAAAACTTTTTTTTTTTTTTAAAAGGGGGATTTTTTTTATTCTTTATGTTTAAATTTAAAATTTAGGGTTTTTTTTGGGGGGTTTTTTTTAAATTTTTTTTCTTGGTTTTTTAAAAATTTTTTTTTATTAATTTTTTTTTTATGGGTTTTAAAAATTTTTTTTAAATTTTTTTTTTGGGGGGGGGGATTTTTGGCTAAAATTTTTTTTTCCCATTTAAAAAATTTTTGGATGATGGTTTTAATGGGCGATGGTTTATTATGGGCTGAGGTTTATTAGGAGCTGAGGGAAAAATGGTTGTTGGGTTTTTTTGGAGTGATGGTTTATTTTGGGGTTTTATGGTTTATTTTGGGGGCTGATGGTTTTTATGGAGCTGATGGTTTATGGTTCTGAAGGTTTATATGGGGCTGTGGTTTTTATGTGCTGAGGTTTATTATGGTGTGAGGTTTATTTTGGGCGATGGTTTTTTATGTGAGGGGGGTTTTTATGGTGTGATGGTTTATTTGGACTGTGGTTTTTTAGGGGGGTTTGGGTTTTTTTGGGCTGATGGTTTTTGGGCTGATGGGTTTTTTATGGGTGTGGTTTTTTTTGGGGCTGAGGGTTTTTTTTTGGTGCTGTGGTTTATTTTGGAGTGTGGTTTATTATGGACTGATGGTTTATTATGGGATGGTTTATTATGTGCTGATGGGTTTTTTATGGAGCTGAATTTGGTTTTTTATGGTGCGGGTTGGGTTTTTTTTGGGAATGTGGTTTAAATTTTGGTGTGATGGGTTTTTATGGAGCTGAAAGGTTTTTTTATGGGAAACTGATGGTTTTTTTTTGGAGCTGTTTTGGGTTTTTTATGGAGTGATGGTTTTTTTATGGTGTGATGGTTTTTTATGGGTGATGGTTTATTTTGGTGCTTTATGGGTTTTTTTAAGGTGCTGATTGGGTTTTTTTATGGACGAATTTGGTTTTTTTTTTGGTGCCCGATGGTTTTTATGGAGCTGATGGTTTTTTTAAAGGTGCTTTATGGTTTTATTATGGAGCTGATGGTTTTTTTATGGTTTCTGATGGTTTTTTTAAAGGGGCGATGGTTTTTTTGGAGCTTGGGTTGGGTTTTTTTATGGTTTCTGATGTTTTTCAATGATTTTTAGTGGTTTTCATGTTCAATAATTTTCACTAGATACAATTTTTTTGAAATTTGGTTTTTTTAAAGAATTTTTTTAAAAGGGTTTTCCCATTTTTTTTTTTTTTTTTTTTGTCAAATTTTTTTTAATAGTGTTTTAATTTTTAAAAGATTTTCAGTGGTTTCCCTTTAATTTTTGTCACATTTTTTAAAGGGAAAAATAATAAAGCGGAAGTTTTTTTGGTTAACATGTTGCTTTGTTTTTTAAGAAATTTTGGGTTCCCTTTTGTTTTGGGTCATATGTAGCCTGTTTGTTAAAAAAATTTTGTTTTCCTTAAGTTGTGGGTCTATGTAGCTTTTGTTTTTTAAGAAATTTTGCTTACCTTTAAATTGTGGGTTTTTCAAAAAATTTTTTTACAAATTTTGGTTTGATTTTTTTAAAATTTTTTTTATTAAATTTGGGATTTTGGGTTTAAGGTTTTTATTTTTTTGGTTTGGTTTTTTGAAGAACGGTAAATTTTTGTACTCACTTTTTTTGGGGGTTTTCAGGGGGTTTAGTCCAACTCCTGGCCCCCTTTTTTCGGGGGTCGATTTCCAGGTTTTCCAATCGTTTCCTTTTTTTGAAAGGGTTGGGGTGTTTGGTGTTTTTGTGTGTGTGTGTGTGTGTGTTGTGTGTGTGTGTTTTTGTGTTTTTGTTAGGATACGACCTGAGAAGTGCATGTTTTTGGGCCCTGCATAAAAACACACAGACTTTATTTTTTAAACGCCATGGGGTTTGGGGTAAAAATATTAAAGGGGTGGTGAAAATATGATTATGCAGTTTAATGATCCTTTGGTTTTTAAATTTATAGTCTGTAAGGGCCCCGTGAAAAATTTTTAAAATAAAAACCCCGAGGCGCCAAAAAATGTTGGTGCATACAAATTCCCAGTCAACGAAAAAAAGTCACCTTTAAATGGATAACCCCCCGGGTGAATTCCGGACGGATATCCCCCGCCTTTTTTTTCAAACAGCAATTTTCATTGCTTTGGGGAAATTTCTGGTAAAAAACCCCAAAACCCCGTTTTTTGTTTCCCGGGCCCAAAAAGGTCTAAAACCCAAAAAGCCCCCTATAAATATTTAAAAGTGAAACATCTAAGTATCACACGCTGAAAAAATTTTTAAGGGCGTTTTTAAGGGAGTCTAAAATTAGCCCAAACAAATTGGGATTAACATTTAGCTAAACATTACATTACCAGTTCAGTCTTCCGAAAGTTAATCACTATATTAAGAGGCAAGATGAATTTTCCTGGAGGACAAGATACTTATGAAAAGGAACAGGCTCCCAAAGTGTTAAATGGAGGATACTTTGCTTGTTACCCGACAAGTGATGGTGTTTTAGATGATTTTGACATGTCCTTATTGGACGAGGAGTACACTGTGTCTCCTATCAACAGTGTAGGCTACTCACCACCCACATACCACTGCAACGACTCTTGGACAGCTGGAGACGCAACTGCTGTTTCACACTTTGCTACTCAGGCTACTGCTACAGAAGGCTGGTCTGCAGGAGGTCCTGCTGGAGGGTCAGACCAGCCCTTGTTTCCCTGGACAAATGATGGACAGACAGCATCACTCACTGGACGGAAGCTGAAGGCTTATGAGTTACCGCCCCAGAGTGATCCCAAGTTGGAGAAGAAGAGACTACGAGCGATAAAGGCCTTGAAGAACCGACTGAGGCGAAGCGAACAGGAAGAGAATCAATACAAGAAGCTGGACGCCCTTACACAAGATGTGTCGCGACTCCGGAGTGAGAAGATCACCAGGGAGCAGAAGGTAGCAGCCCTGCAGGTCTACCTCAGTCAGTTGGCGATATCTTCTCTTCCCCAACACACTGGTAAGTGTTATAGTCTTACTCGTTTCTCCAACAGTGTCATTCACCTATAATATTATATCTTCATGATATAAGTCACAGATCTCTTATAATTTTTTATATCGTTGCGTAGTTCTCATTAACTTGGGTTTCTCTTGGTACAGGTAGTGGCTGGTGAAGAAGACGTCTTCTTGTTAAGGAGGACAAGATGAGCGCTCCAAGGAGTGACTGAACACTGTCTGCAATTGCCCACTTATGTCTTTGCGTCTGATTTACCATTAGGTCACATGACATTGTGCAGCACAGCTTAAAGTGGAGCATCTCTTCAGCTTATGTTGAATCAAGTAACGTAGTAAAGTGTAGCCTGAGAGCCCATTTTTCACTAGTTAAATATCTTTATTATGCACCTCATACCCATCCTGTGGGCGGTAGTCAAAAGATTACAGAGGTACATAATGGGTCCAGTGACTGGACCCCAAAGTTATGTTAGCTGAACTAATTACAAAGGTAATGAACTCCAGGTAGATCTGGTCACAATCATGACAAGTTACAGAGGCCATGAACCATTTACACTCCAATACATGGTTACAATCATAAACAAATTACAAAGTAATAAGCTACTGATACGTTCACATCCGGTAACAATTGCAATGAGTAATAAGTACAAATATTAAGTGGGTCATACACCCACACGTGCGTGGGCGCGCACACACACGAGGGCTCACGCACAGACACACGCACACGAGCATACAAACACACACACACACACACACACACACACACACACACACCACACACACACACGAAGTTACCTATATAATGGTCATCCGGTGGCACACACACTGAGTTGTGTGAACCAACTCCCTGACGTGTGCTGCAGAAGACTCGGGATCCATGTTGAAGAATGACATAAGCCACTCATCGCATGCTGGCAAAAGATAAAAGCCTCCAAGTCCACTGTGGTAGAATGTTGAAGCCGTTGATCTAGTGTTTGAGAATACAGGAAACCTCTGATCCCAGTTTGGAGTATGATAAAAGTTTCAAGGCTGATGTTGAAGAATAATAGAAGCCCTTGATCTTCTGTTAGGAAATAAAAATGTTGAATGTTGTTGTGTGAGTTTTGTACTTAATGTTAAGTAAGTTGTAATGTGTTAATGTTCTTGCGAGGAGCGACAATTGTTCCAAATCTCTAATACACGTTATTTTTATTTTTGTATATTTTTACCAAATAAACAGATTACTTTAAGTTGCGACTTATTTAACACCCTGTTGAGGTGCAGATGTCTGCCTTGAACCTTAAACCTGAGAATATTATGGAATTGTACAGGTGTTTGGGGGAGAGATATCAGGTATGACTGTGAGATGTAGTAGGTGTGAGTGTGTGAGGGGTAGTAGGTGTGAGGTGAGACTGTGTGAGGGGTAGTAGGTGTGAGTGTGTGAGGGGTAGTAGGTGGTGAGGTGAGACTGTGTGAGGGTAGTAGGTGTGAGTGTGTGAGGGGTAGTAGGTGTGAGTGTGTGAGGGGTAGTAGGTGTGAGGTGAGACTTGTGTGAGGTAGTAGGTGTGAGGTGAGACTGTGTGAGGGTGTAGTTAGTAGTGTGAGTGTGTGTGAGGGTAGTAGGTGTGAGGGTATAGGTGAGACTGTGTGAGGGGTAGTAGGTGTGAGTGTGTGAGTGAGGTAGTAGGTGTGAGGTGTAGACTGTGTGTAGGGGTAGTAGGTGTGAGTGGTGTGAGGGGTAGTAGGTGTGAGTGTGTGAGGGGTAGTAGGTGTGAGGTGAGACTGTGTGAGGGGTAGTAGGGTGAGGTGAGACTGTGTGAGGGGTAGTAGGTGTGAGTGTGTGAGGGGTAGTAGGTGTGAGGTGAGACTGTGTGAGGGGTAGTAGGTGTGAGGTGAGACTGTGTGAGGGGTAGTAGTGTGAGGTGTGATGTGTGAGGGTAGTAGGTGTGAGGTGAGACTGTGTGAGGGGTAGTAGGGTGTGAGGTGAGTACTGTGTGAGGGGTAAGTTAGGTAGTGTAGGTGAGATGCTGTGAGGGGTAGTAGGTGTGAGGTGAGACTGTGTGAGGGGTAGTAGGTGTGAGTGTGTGTGAGGGTAGTAGGTGTGAGGTGAGACTGTGTGAGGGGTAGTAGGTGTGAGGTGAGACTGTGTGAGGGGTAGTAGGTGTGAGGTGAGACTGTGTGAGGGGTAGTAGGTGTGAGGTGAGTGTGTGAGGGGTAGTAGGTGTGAGGTGAGACTGTGTGAGGGGTAGTAGGTGTGAGGTGAGACTGTGTGAGGGGTAGTAGGTGTGAGGTGAGACTGTGTGAGGGGGTAGTAGGTGTGAGGTGAGTGTGTGAGGGTAGTAGGTGTGAGGTGGAGGTGAGGCTTGTGGGGTGGTTGTAGGGTATGAGGTGGACAGTGGTGAGGGGTTAGTAGGTGTGAGGTGAGACTGTGTGAGGGGGTAGTAGGTGTGAGGTGAGGACTGGGTGTGAGGGGTAGTAGGTGTGAGGTGAGACTGTGTGAGGGGTAGTAGGTGGTGAGTGTGTGAGGGGTAGTGAGGTGTGAGGTGAGTGTGTGAGGGGTAGTAGTGTGTGAGGTGAGTGTGTGAGGGGTAGTAGGTGTGAGTGTGTGAGGGGTAGTAGGTGTGAGGTGAGACTGTGTGAGGGTAGTAGGTGTGAGGTGAGTGTGTGAGGGGTAGTAGGTGTGAGGTGAGACTGTATGAGGGTAGTAGGTGTGAGTGTGTGAGGGGTAGTAGGTGTGAGGTGAGACTGTGTGAGGGGTAGTAGGTTGTGAGGTGAGACTGTGTGAGGGGTAGTAGGTGTGAGTGTGTGAGGGGTAGTAGGTGTGAGGTGTGACTGTGTGAGGGGTAGTAGGTGTGAGTGTGTGAGGGGTAGTAGGTGTGAGGTGAGACTGTATGAGGGGTAGTAGGTGTGAGTGTGTGAGGGGTAGTAGGTGTGAGGTGAGACTGTGTGAGGGGTAGTAGGTGTGAGTGTGAGATGTGTGAGGGTGAGTAGGTGTGAGTGTGTGAGGGGTAGTAGGTGTGAGGTGAGACGTGTGGGGTAGAGTGTGTGAGGTGTGTGAGGGGTAGTAGGTGTGAGTGAGACTGTGTGAGGGGTAGTAGGTGTGAGTGGTGTGGGTAAGTAGGTGTGAGGTGAGACTGTGTGAGGGGTAGTAGGATGGTGAGTGTGTGAGGGGTAGTATAGGTGTGAGGTGAGACTGTGTGAGGGGTAGTAGGTGTGTGATGAGGGGTAGTAGGTGTGAGGTGAGGACTGTGTGAGGGGTAGTAGGTGTGAGGTGAGACTGTGTGAGGGTAGTAGGTGTGAGGTGAGACTGTGTGAGGGGTAGTAGGTGTGAGGTGAGACTGTATGAGGGGTAGGTAGGTGTGAGGTGAGTGTGTGACGGGTAGTAGGTGTGAGGTGAGATGTGTTGAGGGGTAGTAGGTGTGAGGTGAGACTGTTGAGGGGTAGTAGTGTGTGGTGAGACTGAGTGTGAGGGGTAGTAGGTGTGAGGTGAGACTGTGGGTGAGGGGGTAGTAGGTGTGAGGTTGAGACTGTGTGAGGGGGGTTAGTAGGTGTGAGGTGAGACTGTATGAGGGGTAGTAGGTGTGAGTGTGTGAGGGGTAGTAGGTGTGAGGTGAGACTGTGTGAGGGGTAGTAGTGTGTGAGCTGTGTGAGGGGTAGTAGGTGTGAGGTGAGACTGTGTGAGGGGTAGTAGGTGTGAGTGGCTGTGAGGGGTAGTAGGTGGAGTGTGTGTGAGGGGTAGTAGGTGTGAGGTGAGGACTGTGTGAGGGGTAGTAGGGGTGAGGTGTGGGGAGGGGTAGTAGGTGTGAGGTGAGACTGTGTGAGGGGGTAGAGGTGTGAGTGTGTGAGGGGTAGTAGGTGTGAGGTGAGACTGTGTGAGGGTAGGGTAGGTGGTGAGTGTGTGAGGGGTAGTAGGTGTGTGAGGTGAGGACTGTGTGAGGGTAGTAGGTGTGAGGTGAGACTGTGTGAGGGGTAGTAGGTGTGAGGTGAGATGTGTGAGGGGTAGTAGGTGTGAGGTGAGACTGTGTGAGGGGTAGTAGGTGTGAGTGTGTGAGGGGTAGTAGGTGTGAGGGAGACTGTGTGAGGGTAGTAGGTGTGAGGTGAGACTGTGTGAGGGGTAGTAGGTGTGAGGTGAGACTGTGTGGAGGGGTAGTAGGTGTGATGAGGTTGAGACTGTGTGAGGGGTAGTAGGTGTGAGGTGAGACTGTGTGAGGGGTAGTAGGTGTGAGTGTGTGAGGGGTTAGGTGTGAGGTGAGACTGTGTGAGGGGTAGTAGGTGTGAGGTGAGACTGTGTGAGGGGTAGTAGGTGTGAGGTGAGACTGTGTGAGGGTAGTAGGTGTGAGGTGAGTGTGTGAGGGGTAGTAGGTGTGAGGTGAAGACTGTGTGAGGGTAGTAGGTGTGAGGTGAGACTGGTGAGGGTAGTAGTGTGAGGTGAGACTGTGTGAGGGGTAGTAGGTGTGAGGTGAGACTGTGTGAGGGGTAGTAGGTGTGAGGTGAGACTGTGTGAGGGTAGTAGGTTGTGAGGTGAGACTGTGTGAGGGGTAGTAGGTGTGAGGTGAGACTGTATGAGGTAGATAGGTGTGAGGTAGACTGTGTGAGGGGTAGGGTGTGAGGTGAGACTGTGTGAGGGGGCGTAGGGTGAGGTGAGAGACTGTGTGGGGGGGGTGTAGTAGTGTGAGGTTGAGACTGTGTGCGGGTAGTGTGTGAGGTGAGACTGTGGTGAGGTGATAGTAGGGTGAGGTAAGACTTGTGAGGGGTAGTAGGTGTGAGGTAAGACTGGCGAGAGTGTGTGAGGTAAGACTGTGTGAGGGGGGTAGTAGGTGTAGAGGTAAGACTTGTGTGAGGGATGAGGTGTGAGGTAAGACTGTGTGAGGGTAGATAGGTGTGAGGTGAACTGTGTGAGGGGTAGTAGGTGTGAGGTAAGACTGTGGAGGTAGGTAGGTGAGGTAAGACTGTGTGAGGGGTGTAGGTGTGAGGTAAGACTGGTGAGGGGGTGGGTGTGAGGTAAGACTGTTAAATCGTAGGGGGTGGTTGAGGTAAGACTGTGAGGGGGGGGGTGGGTGTGAGGGAAGACTGTCGAGAGGGGTGTGAGGTAAAAACGTGTAGGGGGGTGGGTTGAGGTAAGACTGTGTGAGGGGGTGGGTAGGGGTAAGACTGTGCGAGGGGGGTGTGGGTAAGACTTTAGGGGGTGGGTGTGAGGTAAGATGTGGGGGGGGTGTGAGGTAAGACTGTGTGAGGGGGGGGGGGGGTGTGAGGTAAGACTGTGCGAGGGGGGTGTGAGGTAAGCCCTGTGTGAGGGGGGTGGGTGTGAGGAAAAGATTTGTGGGGGGGGGTGGGTGTGAGGTAAGACTGTGCGAGGGGGTGTGAGGTAAGACTGTGTGAGGGGGGTGGGTGTGAGGTAAGACTGTGTGAGGGGGGTGGGTGTGAGGTAACAATTTAAAACCAATATAAAAGTCTGTCCACTATAAATTTACACAAACAAAATCTGTGATTTTAACAATGTTATTTTTTATATTTCCTGTAGAGGCATTTGAGTGAGTTAGCACTTGTAGCAGACAGTGTTTAATGTGTAACATGATACATGTTACAGAGACAGCGCTCGTAGCAGACACTCTTCGTGAACAAGCATCATGGCTGTTACAGCATCATGGCTGTTACACCATCATGGCTGTTACACCATCATGGCTGTAACATCCGTTTAAGTGGGCGTGTAGTAAACAGTGATTCTTGGGTATACGTTTCTTCTTGTAGATTGGCCAGTGTTGTCCCAGCCCGGGTCTTTACCAGTTGCCTTGTTTCTCATTAAGAATACCAGTATCGTCACCTCACCACTATCCCTCTAGCGATATTCCTTTTTATATATAAAAAACTACCAATAAATAGTTGCACTCAAAAAAGTCATTTGTCTTATCAAGCTAAAATAGATAATTAGAATATTATATTAGATAAATGAAAGTAGCCGAAGTATAACAACACCTTGTACAATAATAACCTAAGTGTAATAATAATACCACCAAAATATATTGCAATAATTGTGTTTTGAGATAGTTATAAATCTGATGACTAATCTGGATGAGTGAGCTATGCTCAGATTTACTACATTATTTAAACATATCAAAGGCAGGAATAATAACTGTGGTAAAACTGAGGTAATCAGTCCCTCATACCTACTGCAGTGAGTTGGATTCTGTTATATGTGGTCGAAAGAAATATCAAGCGCTAAACCCACATGAGTCAGCTCCTGGGGAATGGGATGATATTAAATTTAATCCATGGAAAGGGAGGGTAGTTTCAGTTTCTTGGATCAAGAGCCCTTGAACATCACGGCATTCCTTTAAGAAGTTAACATGCCAAAGGTAGTAAAGATCTGACATCATCAAGAGTGTAGTGACGTGTACATGTCTTAAGACTGATGCAACAAGGTCAGGTCAACGTGACCGTAATTTCATATAAATTTCCCTCAGGGTATTTCTTAGCTCTCTGCATGTTTTCAAAATAGTACACTGAATATTTACTTGTTGTTAAAAATTATTTTTATTATTGATACAATGAAGGTAACAGTGTTGGTAGCTCCATCATCAATCATCCGGTTTGCGTATCCTCTCATACAGGACCTCGCTACTACTTCGTTACCTTTAGATAGGAGCTTTTTATATCATGGGACAAAGGAGCACTCAAATTCGTAGGTGTGATAGGTAATAATTTTGTCAGCTAAAATAAAGGACCCCAGAGCAACAACCAATTTGTTTTCTAGAGACACTGTGTGGCGATCCCGAGAGGAAGTGCTGAATGCATCCTCGGCACATAGTTTACATCAACTTTCCAAATGTAGGCGCTATACCATCACCTTTGCTATCATTGTTATTATATCCATTGGAATAATATTGGCCTGGTAGAGGAAGAAAATACTCAAATACCTCCAGGAAGAAATCTTGAAATTTCTCCGTTAAGTCCTTTTATTCTTTTCTCAGACTGTGTGGGTTCCCTACTACATATACTGTCTTATGTTTCTCGCACATTTAAGGTTCAGGAGCTGTCATCTGCAAGTCATCAAGGTTATGAAGAAGTTAGAACTTGTGTTAATCTTTTTATATAGTAAAATTGTATACAGACCATCAAGTGCATGTGAGGAATGAGTGTGGCTACTCTTATGAATATTAGTACACACACTACAACACTCAACATTAATATTCACCACTACGGGTCCCGAGATATCTATTATTCTCCTATCATTCTCCGAACTGGATCTCAGGTTGCTGTTATTCTCCAACATGGATCCCAAGCTTTTATTACTTTCCAGCAATGGACCTGGGGCTTCTACAGCACACATCAGGACGATGATCCAAGCAGCTCAAAATGTGCCAACAGTTCACCGTCATACAAATGACCTCGGCCTCCCGGTCTTCTTTCACGTTACTTGAGTCAAAGAAAACCGTACAGGTCCTCCACTTCGACCTGTAACTGCCCAGGCTCATGTGACCCACCAATGACAAGGCAGAAGTGTAAACAAAGGCGAACAATTGATGGCGTGGTTCAGCATTTGCGAGTGCTGATCTTCAGCAGGACTCCTCAACGGGAAGATCTCTTATCACCAGCCACTACCTGTGCCAAGAGAGAGAGAAAGATAATGAAGACTACTCAAGAAGGTTAGAGAGTTATATAAGATCTGTGAATTATATAATGTTATTGGCGTATTATATCACAAGTGAATAAAGATCAATATAATGAGACCAAATAGCGTTAGGGAGTGTGAGAATATACCATCCATAATCAGTTGTTTGGAAGTTGGTAAGCATATACTAGCACTTACCAGTGTGTTGTGGATTGGGGGATATAGCCATCTGGCTGAGGTAGGCCTGCAGGGCTGCAACGGTCTGCTGCTTCCTGCTTTTCTCACTTCTAAGCCGTGATACATCCTGGGTGAGGGTGTCTAGTTTCGAGTATTTCTCCTCCTGCTGCAAGCTCTTTTTTAGTCGATTCTTCAAAGCCTTTATCGCTCGCAGTCTCTTCTTCTCCAGCTCAGGATCACTCTGGGGCGGCAACTCATACACCTTCAACTTCCGTCCAATGATTGATGATGTCTGTCCATCACTCGGCTGGGGTAACAAGGATTGGTTTGAACCTCCGACAGGATTTCTAGTAGTCCAGCCTTCTGCAGCAGTAGCCTGCGACAAGTAAATGCTGGCAGAGTCCCACATGGCCGGTGTGGCGAGCTGCGAAGCAGCAGCTGCGTCTCCAACAGTCCAAGACTCGTTGTAGCTTCTCCAGTCACCGCTGTCAGAGGTGACACCGGTGTTTCCTGCACGTGAACCGGTGACCGGCTCATAGTGGTATATGGATGGTGAGTGGATTCCACTGTTTAAAGGCGATACAGTATATTCCTCGTCCAACAAGGAGGTGTCAAAATCGTCTAAAACATCATCATCGCCAAATGACAAACTGGACATTGGCACTTTCCCGTAGCTTTCTTGCCCTCCAGGTGAAAACATTTTGTTAATGAAATGTTTGACTAACCCTTGAACTTCTTTACTCCTCGAAGGCTTTCCAGCGTATGGTGCAGATCTGTCCCGTCCCTTTGTATATATAGCAGCTCGTGCCTGTAGTCGTACACGACCGGATACGCAAACATAACCAGGGTATTCACCGTCGATCTCTACCTCCTGGATAATAAGAAAATTACTGTAAATAGTGAGGATGTCCGTCACAACGGACTCTCCCGCCTTTTTTATTTTATTAATACGTATTATGTACCAGCGTTAATAAACTGCCAGTTTTAGCTTCATACTTACGTGATTAGCAGCATAGTCGTGTGTGATATATATATATATATATATATATATATATATATATTTATATATATATATATTATATATATATATATATATATATATATATATATTGCCGAATACGTAAAACTTGCGATTTTGGAATAAATAGCAACGCTCTTCTTGCCTAATAAGGCAAGCGAAAATTTGTGTATGCAATAATTTCTGAAAAATCATTCTGAACCTAACGAAAAAAAATATTTCATTGTATTTGTTTATTATTAAATTACTGTAAACTTATCTAAAATATATTTAGTTGGATTAGGCTAAGTGAGTTTTATAAGGTTCTTTTGGTAGAAAATTATTAATTTTTACATTAACATGAATGAAAAAAAAAGTCTTTAAACGTATAAGAGAAAAATTTAGAAAGGACTTAATTTCTTGCTGATTGACTAGTTTTACCTATTCGGCACGACACACACACACACACACACACACACACACACACACACACACACACACACACACACACACGAAGTTACCTATATAATGGTCATCCGGTGGCACACACACTGAGTTGTGTGAACCAACTCCCTGACGTGTGCTGCAGAAGACTCGGGATCCATGTTGAAGAATGACATAAGCCACTCATCGCATGCTGGCAAAAGATAAAAGCCTCCAAGTCCACTGTGGTAGAATGTTGAAGCCGTTGATCTAGTGTTTGAGAATACAGGAAACCTCTGATCCCAGTTTGGAGTATGATAAAAGTTTCAAGGCTGATGTTGAAGAATAATAGAAGCCCTTGATCTTCTGTTAGGAAATAAAAATGTTGAATGTTGTTGTGTGAGTTTTGTACTTAATGTTAAGTAAGTTGTAATGTGTTAATGTTCTTGCGAGGAGCGACAATTGTTCCAAATCTCTAATACACGTTATTTTTATTTTTGTATATTTTTACCAAATAAACAGATTACTTTAAGTTGCGACTTATTTAACACCCTGTTGAGGTGCAGATGTCTGCCTTGAACCTTAAACCTGAGAATATTATGGAATTGTACAGGTGTTTGGGGGAGAGATATCAGGTATGACTGTGAGATGTAGTAGGTGTGAGTGTGTGAGGGGTAGTAGGTGTGAGTGTGTGAGGGGTAGTAGGTGTGAGTGTGTGAGGGGTAGTAGGTGTGTGAGTGTGTGAGGGGTAGTAGGTGTGAGGTGAGACTGTGTGAGGGGTTAGTAGGTGTGAGGTGAGACTGTGTGAGGGGTAGTAGGTGTGAGTGTGTGAGGGGTAGTAGGTGTGAGTGTGTGAGGGGTAGTAGGTGTGAGTGTGTGAGGGGTAGTAGGTGTGAGGTGAGACTGTGTGAGGGGTAGTAGGTGTGAGGTGAGACTGTGTGAGGGGTAGTAGGTGTGAGTGTGTGAGGGGTAGTAGGTGTGAGGTGAGACTGTGTGAGGGGTAGTAGGTGTGAGGTGAGACTGTGTGAGGGGTAGTAGGTGTGAGTGTGTGGGGGTAGTAGGTGTGAGGTGAGACTGTGTGAGGGTAGTAGGTGTGAGTGTGTGAGGGGTAGTAGGTGTGAGGTGAGACTGTGTGAGGGGTAGTAGGTGTGAGTGTGTGAGGGGTAGTAGGTGTGAGTGTGTGAGGGTAGTAGGTGTGAGTGTGTGAGGGGTAGTAGGTGTGAGGTGAGACTGTGTGAGGGGTAGTAGGTGTGAGTGTGTGAGGGGTAGTAGGTGTGAGTTGTGTAGGGGTAGTAGTGTGTGAGTGTGTGAGGGGTAGTAGGTGTGAGTGTGTGAGGGGTAGTAGGTGTGAGGTGAGACTGTGTGAGGGGTAGTAGGTGTGAGGTGAGGACTGTGTGAGGGGTAGTAGGTGTGGTGTGTGAGGGGTAGTAGGTGTGAGGTGAGACTGTGTGAGGGGTAGTAGGTGTGAGGTGAGACTGTTGTGAGGGGTAGTAGGTGTGAGTGTGTGAGGGTAGTAGGTGTGAGGTGAGACTGTGTGAGGGGTAGTAGGTGTGAGTGTGTGAGGGGTAGTAGGTGTGAGGTGAGACTGTGTGAGGGGTAGTAGGTGTGAGTGTGTGAGGGGTAGTAGGTTGTGAGTGTGTGAGGGGTAGTAGGTGTGAGTGTGTGAGGGTAGTAGGTGTGAGGTGAGACTGTGTGAGGGGTAGGTGTGAGTGTGTGAGGGGTAGTAGGTGTAGTGTGTGAGGGGTAGTAGGTGTGAGTGTGTGAGGGGTAGTAGGTGTGAGTGTGTGAGGGGTAGTAGGTGTGAGGTGAGACTGTGTTTAGGGGTAGTAGGTGTGAGGTGAGACTGTGTGAGGGGTAGTAGGTGTGAGTGTGTGAGGGGTAGTAGGTGTGAGGTGAGACTGTGGGGAGGGGTAGTAGGTGTGAGGTGAGACTGTGTGAGGGGTAGTAGGTGTGAGTGTGTGAGGGGTAGTAGGTGTGAGGTGAGACTGTGTGAGGGGTAGTAGGTGTGAGTGTGTGAGGGGTAGTAGGTGTGAGGTGAGACTGTGTGAGGGTAGTAGGTGTGAGTGTGTGAGGGGTAGTAGGTGTGAGGTGAGACTGTGTGAGGGTAGTAGTGTGGTGTGTGAGGGTAGTAGGTGTGAGGTGAGACTGTGTGAGGGGGTAGTAGGTGTGAGTGTGTGAGGGGTAGTAGGTGTGAGGTGAGACTGTGTGAGGGGTAGTAGGTGTCAGGTGACTGTGTGGGGTAGGTGTGAGTGTGTGAGGGGTAGTAGGTGTGAGGTGAGACTGTGTGAGGGGGAGTAGGTGTGAGGTGAGACTGTGTGAGGGGTTAGTAGGTGTGAGGTGAACTGTGGGGAGGGGTAGTAGGTGTGAGGTGAGACTGTGTGAGGGGTAGTAGGTGTCAGGTGAGACTGTGTGAGGGGTAGGTGTGAGTGTGTGAGGTGTAGTAGGTGTGAGGTGGGGATGTGAGGGTAGTAGGTGTGAGGTGAGACTGTGTGAGGGGTAGTAGGTATGAGGTGAGACTGTGAGGGGTAGTAGGTGTGAGATGAGGCTGTGTGAGGGTAGTAGGTGTGAGGTGAGACTGTGAGGTGTAATAGGTGTGAGGTGAGACTGTGAGGGGTAGTAGGTGTGAGGTGAGACTGTGTGAGGGGTAGTAGTGTGAGTTGTGAGGGGTAGTAGGTGTGAGGTGAGACTGTGAGGGGTAGTAGGTGTGAGGTGAGACTGTGTGAGGGGTAGTAGGTGTGAGTGTGTGAGGGGTAGTAGGTGTGAGGTGAGACTGTGTGAGGGTAGTAGGTATGAGGTGAGACTGTGTGAGGGGTAGTAGGTGTGAGATGAGACTGTGGAGGAGGGTAGTAGGTGTGAGGTGAGACTGTGTGAGGGGTAGTAGGTGTGAGGTGAGACTGTGTGAGGGGTAGTAGGTGTGAGGTGAGACTGTGTGAGGGGTAGTAGGTGTGAGGTGAGACTGTGAGGGGTAGTAGGTGTGAGGTGAGATTGTGTGAGGGGTAGTATGTGTGAGGTGAGACTGTGTGAGGGGTAGTAGGTGTGAGGTAAGACTGTGTGAGGGGTAGTAGGTGTGAGGTAAGACTGAGGAGTAGTAGTGTGAGGTAAGACTGTGTGAGGGGTAGTAGGTGTGAGGTAAGACTTGTGTGAGGGATAGTAGGTGTGAGGTAAGACTGTGTGAGGGTAGTAGGTGTGAGGTGAGACTGTGTGAGGGGTAGTAGGTGTGAGGAAGACTGTGAGGGGTAGTAGGTGTAGGTGAGATTGTGGAGGGGTAGCAGGTGTGAGGTGAGACTGTGAGGGGGTAGTAGGTGTGAAGGTGAGACTTGTGTGAGGGGGTAGTAGGTGTGAGGTGAGACTGAGGGGTAGTAGGTGTGAGGTAAGACTGAGGGGTAGTAGGTGTGAGGGGAGACTGTGTGAGGGGTAGTAGGTGTGAGGTAAGACTGTGTGAGGGGTAGTAGGTGTGAGGTAAGACTGTGTGAGGGGTAGTAGGTGTGAGGTAAGACTGTGAGGGGTAGTAGGTGTGAGGTAAGACTGTGAGGGGTAGTAGGTGTGAGGTAAGACTGTGATGGGTAGTAGGTGTGAGGTAAGACTGTGATGGGTAGTAGGTGTGAGGTAAGACTGTGAGGAGTAGTAGGTGTGAGGTAAGACTGATGGGTAGTAGGTGTGAGGTAAGACTGTGATGGGTAGTAGGTGTGAGGTAAGACTGTGAGGGGTAGTAGGTGTGAGGTAAGACTGAGGAGTAGTAGGTGTGAGGTAAGACTGTGAGGGGTAGTAGGTGTGAGGTAAGAATGTGAGGGGTAGTAGGTGTGAGGCAAGACTGTGAGGGGTAGTAGGTGTGAGGTAAGACTGTGTGAGGGGTGGTAGGTGTGAGGTAAGACTGTGTGAGGGTACTAGGTGTGAGGTAAGACTGTGTGAGGGGTAGTAGGTGTGAGGTGAGACTGTGTGAGGGGTAGTATGTGTGAGGTGAGACTGTATGAGGGGTAGTAGGTGTGAGGTAAGACTGTGTGAGGGGTAGTAGGTGTGAGGTAAGACTTGTGTGAGGGATAGTAGGTGTGAGGTAAGACTGTGTGAGGGTAGTAGGTGTGAGGTGAGACTGTGTGAGGGGTAGTAGGTGTGAGGTAAGACTGTGAGGGGTAGTAGGTGTGAGGTGAGACTGTGTGAGGGGTAGCAGGTGTGAGGTGAGATTGAGGGGGGTAGTAGGTGTGAGGTGAGACTGTGTGAGGGGGTAGTAGGTGTGAGGTGAGACTGAGGGATAGTAGGTGTGAGGTAAGACTGTGTGAGGGTAGTAGGTGTGAGGTGAGACTGTGTGAGGAGTAGTAGGTGTGAGGTAAGACTGTGAGGGGTAGTAGGTGTGAGGTGAGACTGTGTGAGGGGTAGCAGGTGTGAGGTGAGACTGAGGGGGTAGTAGGTGTTAGGTGAGACGGTGTAGGGTAGGGTGGTAATGGGGTAGTAGGTGTGAGGTAAGACTGTGTGAGGGTAGTAGGTGTGAGGTAAGACTGTGTGAGGGGTAGTAGGTGTGAGGTGAAGACTTGTGAGGGGTAGTAGGTGTGAGGTGAGATG